GAAATATAAAGGGAAGCAATTCTCTCAAACTTCTGCCTGCATACAAGCATTAATCTGATTTCAAAATTAGAGAAAGGTCCAATTAGAAAATAGAACTACAGGCAAGTCTCTCTAATGAATATAGATGAAAAATTCTCAGTAAAATACTGTCAAAGAGACTGCATCAAATCATTGAGAAGATTATACATCATGACCAAATGAGATTCACCCCAGGAATGCAGGGATGGTTCAACAGATGCAAATCCATAAATGTAATATACTGCAAAAATAGAGCCAAGAACAAAAACCATATGATCATCTCAGTAGACACAAAAAGTCTTTTGACAATGTTGAGCACACATTCATGATAAAAAAAAAAACAGGAAATCAGAATAGATGGTCCTTAACTCAACCTGACAAAGGCCATCTATGAGAAACTAATAGTCAGCATCATAGTAAATGGGTAAATACTGAAAGCACTCACTTTAAAAATCAGGAACAAGACAAGCATTTCCATTTTCTCCACTCCTGTTCAATAAAGTCCTGGAAACTATAGCCAGAACAATTAGATAAGAGAGATAAAGGAACAAGAAGTGATATTATCATTATTTGCAGATGACATGATACTCTCCATAGAGGACCCCAAAAACTCCATCAAGTTTCTTGTGGATTTAATCACCAAATTCAGCAATACGGCAGGATACAAAATCAACACCCAAAAATCAGTAGCATTTTTGTATACAAGCAATGAGTGAACTGGGAGAGTAGAGAAACCACACTTTTCACATAACATCCAAAAAATGAAATACTTAAGATTCAGTGTCACAAAGGAAGTAAAAGATTTATACAGTGAAAATTATGGTACTCTGACAAAGGAGATTAAAGATGGTTTAATAAAATGGAAAGCTATTCCATACTCCTGCATAGGAAGAACCAATATTGTGAAAATGGTCATACTCTCAATATTGTTATACAGATTCAATGCAATCCCAATTAAAATACCATTAGTATACCTCACAGAGCTAAAGAAAACTTTCCTTAAATACATTTAGAACAGGAAGAGACCCAAAATATTAAAGGCAATCCTTGGAAACAAAGGAAAAGCAAGAGGTATCACAATCCCTGACCTGAAATTATACTATAAAGTGACTGTGATAAAATCACCATGTTACCGGAATAGAGACAGACCTAAGGATCAATGGAACAGATTAGAAGATTCAGACTGAACTGAAAACACACTCAAATATAAGGCACCTTATATTTGATAAAGGGGTCAAACGTTCATTAAAAGAAAGATAGCCTCTGTAATAAATGGTGCTGGGAAAAGTGGCTTTCCAGATTCCAAATGCTAAAATTAGCCACAAATCCATCACCATGACTAAACTAAAGTCAAAATTGATCAAAGATATAAACATTAAAACAGAAACAATAAATCTTCTGGAGGAAAAGGTAAAAATCTTAAAGATATAGGGGTAAGTAGAGAGTTCAGGAGCAAAAACCAAACTGCACATGAAATACTTCAAAAAATCAGCAACTGAGATCTCCCCTTTTTAAACATTTTCTGCACATCAAAGAAAACCTCCAGCATGATAAAAAGAAAACCCACAAACTGGGACAAAAATAGCTGACTAACCCACTCACAAAGGCCTTCTATCTAGAGTATATAAAGGAATAATTAAAAATCAGCTCCCCTGCCCAATTCAGACTCAATACAAAAATGGGCATCTGAAATTCAGTAGCATAGCAGGATACAAAGTCAATACACAAAAGTCAATAGCATTCCTCTACACAGATAA